ATAGTGGTAATTTGTAAGATCACATTTTCCTCCTACAAAGTTGAACAGTAGATTATAAATAAGATTTTTTTTTTTTCTGTAAGCAAATCCACCTGTCAAATCCAAGACTCAACAGAGTCCTTCTAATACTTGATTTGAAGGAAAAGTTCAAACCTAATTTTTAGTCATTTATTACCTTATGCAGTTGCTTCTGAGGACAAAAAACATTATTACTTTACCTGATCTGTCTACTAGGAAGTTGCTCTTTCATGTGTCTTCCTAAGCACAAAGAAGTTAGGGCAACACGCCTTTAGAAGTTTCAGGAAAGTTCTTAAATGCACACTCATTTATTAGGGAAAGTGACTGCTAGTGAGTAAGGGAAAATTTGTGTCAACAGGAGTTGTGCAGATTACGCTGACAACTCTTTTATGAAACTGGTCTCCTACAGGTTGGAGTGTGTTACACTGATACCTAGGTCCTTGACTGGTGTAAGCTGGTATGGTCAAAATCCACCATTGACTCTCACCCCAGCGCCCCCAGTCCTCCTCCTGTTTTCCTGCTTTCAGTCCCAGGTTGCTTTGAACAGCTAACACTGCTAGAGTGACACTCTCTCCTCTCTTTGAAAAACAGAACTTTCACACATTTCTTCCAGAATATTGATTTATAGTCAAGTGGGATTAATTAAACAGGGAGAGGTTGGGTTCTATAAAGTGGAAGTAAGAGGGTAGAATTATTCAGAAGACACTTGTGGAAGATTCAAAATGCTATCTGTATACGAGTACTATAAAACTATTCAGTTTTTTGATACTTCAAAAAGGAAAAAAATCATCTAGAAACGGCATTTGACAATATTACCTTCCCTCATAAACATTTTTTAACCTTTCACGAGGAAAAAAAATCTCTAAGGCAGTTAATGAGTTTCACCTGAAGAATTTGGGGACTTTTTCCATCCTGGTGACCAAAGTGGACTTTGTTGTGTCGGTGAATGAAGTCATGTAGCCATGTGAGAACACAGGAGGATGAGAGAGTAGTTCTTCTGTCAGGGCTAGTTCACATTGGGAGGAATGATCGGCAACTCACCTATGGTTTTTAATCTCTGTCTAGGTACTGGTTTCTTGGTATGATGGACAGTTAATGTGTTTAAAATGATTTTTATAACCTCTTGAGAATGTTCAGTGCCTAAAGTACTGAGATTGAAGATAACCAACATTAGCAACACGGAGACAGTGGATAACCTTATATCTTTGGCACATGACTGAGACAGCAGGAGCTTGCTTGGAACACACATACCAAACATCTTTCTGATAGCATTTTAATGATAACATTTTTTTAAAAGTGTCTTTTTGAATTTTTTTTTACTTTATAAAAATTAGGATATATTCATTGTGACAGTTTCAAATAGGCTTACATTGTACATTCGTTAAATTGCTCCCCCCATTCCCTCCACTCCCCTTCCCTGCCCCACTTAAAGCACTTGCAAGAGGTTTCATATAAGTATATGCAGCCCATCAACTATATTCCCTCACCTTCATCTCTTCCATTCACCTTCTCCCCTCCCATAAGTACCCCCCACACAAATGCACTGTACCTATTTTACAGTCCTTTTTTGTGTTGTTATTAATTCTAAAGTCAATTGAAATACTTTTAATTATAGTGCTTTTCATGGCTAGTTCTAGAGCTTGTGTATATAGACCCCATGGAATTTATAAGTGCAGAATTATCTGAGAATTGTAAAATTAAGTGGTAAGGAAAGGAGCTGGCATTTATTGCAAACCCATGAAATGTCAAACATTGTACTGATGCCTCACATTCAACTCCCATAAAATCCAGCATTGTTATTTTACAGGAAATGGAGGATAGTCAGGTTAAATAGCTCTCTCAAGGATCGTAGGCAGGCATGCAGTGGAGGTGAGAGTCATGGCAACATCTTATGAGCCAACTATGACCCAATGTCCACAGTCTCCTTGAAAGAATTCTTGTCTGACATTTACCAGATTAGACACAGTGGCATTCCTTTCTGTGCTGCTATTCATTGCCAATTATTTTATATATCAGTTTCAGCCATAAGTCAATAGTTTTGGCTCTTGTGACAAAAGAATTTTCTTGCGCTTTTAAAGGATAGATCCCAAATTTGCTCTCTTTGAGATGTCACATCTGGAATCAGTTTTAGTGTATGTTTTTATGTGTATAGGCACATGTATAAGTCTATGCATTCAGCTGCTTTCTTGCTGTGCCACTCAACAGCTCATGGATATCCTCAAGTGAGAAATGCAAAGGCAGCCGTAGCTCATTGACAGAGCCATTAAATGTGGTGCCCCTCCCTCTCTCTTATCTTTACGATGTGATACAAAGCTTCTCTGGCAAATAATCAGAGGAAAAGTTTAGGGGCAGAGAGTACCTGAAGTACTAAATTTCTCCTGCATCCTCTCAACATCTTGAGTTCTGAGCCATCTTGAGAGGTACTCCTTATAAAAACAGGAAAAGTAACTTTCCTGGGCTGAGACCTCTGCCCCATTGCCAGCTTCTTAGGGAGTCCTCTTTGACCCCTCCATGGTGCCTTGTTGCCTTAACACATTTTGTTGGACTTACTTCTTGTACAGCTCCATGAACTTGGCTAGTTAGAGTTTTCTTCTGGGTAAAAGGAGTGTGTTAATGGCACCATGGCGGGATGCTGTTGAAAAGATGAAATAACTAATGTAATATGGTCAGGGTTAGGCTTATGCCTGACACTGAGGAAACATTAAGTTTAAATTTGTAATTTTAGTTTACCCCTAAAGACTAGGGAAGGTCTTCACTCATATCATCTTGGGAAATAACCAGATAACACTGCTTTCTAGGGTTCTAGTGCATCTGTAAGTCTTCTGATACTTCACAATAGCTCATACAGGTAACATAGCTAACAGCGGGAGATGTTTACTTGACTTTATGTTTGAAAAACAAATAAAGTTGAGACACATTGTCTTACAATTCAATTATGCAGGTTCACTTTTTACCCAAAAAAGAATTACAGCTGGGCTTAAAACAAAGAATGGACTGTGGCTTTAGAAAACCAATTTTAGTAACCAAGATTTTAGGTTTGTAAACCAACAGGACTTTACACCTCTGAGGATTGCTGTTTTATTGCTGTATAGAAACCCATGCTGAGGGTGTCAGAACACAGCACCTGCTGTTATGTCCACAGTGTACACTACATTTATACTTCGCCTCATAGCCTATAATTTCTAGGTCGGCATATCGGTTTCTGTTACAGAATTGGGAGAAGATTCTAAAGGCAGACCTAGCAGGCTTCACATTTCTTAACTGAACCTAATGTAGCAACATGTATTATGAAACATCAAAGCTGAAATTTGAAATAAGCCATTCATGCATACTGTCTAATTAGGAATTCGAAAGTGCTGTAAGTTACAATTTAAAATACTGGTCAGATGTATTTCTTTATATTTTCATTTCTTGCTTTGTGTTAAAAATATACTTAGTTGTATTTTTGTGATGCTTGCTCCTACCAAAAATTTAGTAGAACTCTGTGTCTGTAGTGAGTTATGACCATGAGCCACCGCCACCCGCCCCCTGTGTTTTTTTAAAGACATGTACTTAGAAACAGTATTTTGAAAATAGGAACAGTATTTTCGTTACTGTTTAGAAGGAAAAAAAAATTTATTGCATTTTTTCTTCTCCCAACTATTAAAGTCATTCCAGACAGGAAATTATCATAGAGTGGTGAGGCAAATTTTGACTGAAGGGTAATACTTTCTACCTAACACCTTTAAGATAAGTGTGGGTTATTTCACTATCATGAATCATGATCCCAAGGAGTGTAATGAATCAACAGCACATTTTCTGTTCTATGAATGGATGGGTTTTTTTGGTTTTTTTTTTTTTTTTTTTTAATGATTGGTTGAGGTTACTGCTGTAATTCTGCCAGAAGTAGGCAGACCTAGGCTACAACCAGGTGACCTTGCCTCGACTTTTCAGTCTTAATTGGGACCTTACAAGGTGCCCTCCCTCTGTTGGACTTTCCTTATTTGTGGGAACTGAGGCATTGGATGTGATTTTTGTCAAGTTTCATCAAGGAAGAATAATTTTTTTTTTCTCAAAAGAGCAACATTTTAGTGAGTTCTCACTGGTACATGATGCCATAAAAAGGCACTTGAAAAGCAGCAGCATAGCTCTGAATTGCGTTTATCTTACTAAACTTACTTATCTGAATTAATGACGTGGTACCAGAGGAGAAAAAAGAAATCAGGATTCAAATACAGTTTGGTTTTTCTGCCAGAATGAAAGTAGTAAACCTCAAGACAGAGACTTAGCTTTGAGTGGAAAAGGCTGTTCATGGGCCCGGATCCAGCATATATCATCAGGAAACAATTTCACATTACTATGGAACTATTTTTTAAGCCAAATATACCTTGAAAAGCAATGAATACAAATGAGACACATAAGCTGATAATATGGCTGAAGGAACTGTGTTTCCCATACTAGCTCCTGCTTAAGAACGAGAGACTCTTCCTGCCCCTAGCTCTTTGAGGATGTGTTTGCTCATATAAACATGGGGGAATGGAGTTTGAGAAGAGTTCACAGTTGGACATCATTTTCTAGAAGCGTGCGATTTGTGCTGTGCAGTTTCAACAAGTAGTTTTAAATCATGAATTTTTTTTTCCTAGCTGCACTGTAGACCTAAAATGGCTGTTCCTGGAACCATTTTGTGCTTCAGTGTTCAATACTTGGGGTTTGAGTCAGACCTGGGGAGGCAGATAAGACGCAAACACCCCTCCACCTGACTTTGCCATTGCCAAGCCTGTCTCTAATCGCTGATCCATTGATCCCAACTTACTCTTTCCCCCAACTTGCTGCCTTTAAACACCCCACCGCCGAGCTCTTCACTTTTAACTCGTTGCTTTATTTTAAGTTGGGGTGGCATAAAGCCCGCCCTCTGGCCCACTTCTCGGTGTGCAGTTCTGGGGTGTCTGGACTTGCGCTGTGACCCTAACTCCTGTCCCGCCTTGCTTTGTGTTTGGTTGCAGAACTCCAAGATGGGAGGCAAGCTGAGCAAGAAGAAGAAGGGCTACAATGTGAACGACGAGAAAGCCAAGGACAAGGACAAGAAGGCTGAAGGCGCGGGCACCGAGGAGGAGGGGACCCCGAAGGAGAGCGAGCCCCAGGCGGCGGCCGACGCGGCGGAGGCCAAGGCGCCGGCGGAGGAGAAGGCGGACAAGGACGCGCCGGACGCGGCCGACGGCCAGGCCAAGGTGGAGGAGAAGGAGGGCGAGCCGGCGGCCAAGGAGGAGGCGCCCAAGGCCGAGGCCGAGAAGAGCGAGGGCGCCGCGGAGGAGCAGCCCGAGCCCGCGCAGGCGCCCGCGCAGGAGGCGGCCGGCCCCGGCCCCGGCCCCGCTGCGGGCGGCGAGGCCCCCAAAGCCGGCGAGGGCGGCGCGGAGAGCACGGCGCCCGGCGCGGGGGATGGCCCGAGCAAGGAGGAAGGGGACCCCAAAAAGACTGAGGCTCCCGCAGCAGCTCCTGCCGCCCAGGAAACGAAAAGTGAGGGGGCCCCAGCTTCAGACTCAAAACCTAGCAGCGCCGAGGCCGCCGCCTCCTCCAAGGAGCCCCCCGCAGCCTCGGAAGCGCCCAGTTCCACAGCCAAGGCCCAGGCGCCCGCGGCCCCCGCAGAGGAGCTCAAACCGGCCGACGCCCCGGCAGCCACCTCCGAGCAAACCGTGGCCCTCAAAGAGTGACAGGGACAGCCTAGGGAAGCGACACCACTTGCAAACAATCTCTCTCTTCTCTCTCTGTCTCTCACGCTCGCTCTCTGTCTCTCACTGTCTTCTCTGTCTCTATCCTATACTAACTTGTTTCAAATTGGAAGTGAGGATATGTATTGCCCAAGGGGGTTAAGAGGATGTGTCCCATCTAGGGAGGGCGGGGGTGGGGAAAATCCAAATAGTATTTTTGTGCGGAAATATCTAATATACCTTCAGTCAACTTCACCACTCAGTCCTGGGTTTGAGATCAGTGTCTGGAAGTGCCGTCTGCACCTGAACTGCTGGTACTCGCGCCCCGCCACCAGACCCCAGCAGCTCCTCTCCTGCCGTGGGAGTCCGGAGAGATCGTGCCCACAGAGCTTGTGCCAAGGCAATCGGATCTTTCTGAGAGCAGTATTTCTGTGTTTTCCTGTTAATTTACAGCCTTTCTTATTTTGATATTTTTTTAATGTTGTGGATGAATGCCAACTTTCAGACGGAAGCCCACTTAACCTTGTCCACATGTATCTCCAAGCCAATCCTCCATTCTTCCTCTCCAGATATTTTTGGGAGTAACAAACATTCTCTCATCGTACTTAGCCTACCTAGATTTCTCCTGACAAGTTAATGCATGTCCGTGGTTGGGTGCACCTGTAGTTCTGTTTATTGGTCAGTGGAAATGAAAAAAAAAAAAAAAAAAAGTCTGCGTTCATTGCAGTTCCAGTTTCTCTTCCATTCTGTGTCACAGACACCAACACACCACTCATTGGAAAATGGAAAAAAAATAAAAAACAAAAAAATGTACAATGGATGCATTGAAATTATATGTAATTGTATAAATGGTGCAACAGTAATAAAGTTAAACAATTAAAAAGTAATAAAGACTGCTGGCTTTCTTTTACCTCCTTCCCTGTCCCCTTCTCTCACCACCCCCCCCCCCCACCTCATTAGAGAACAGGGCACTGTGTTGGGCATTTTTCTTTGCAGAATATATTGAGATGGAAGTACAAATCAGGATGCTCAAATTTTGGGGAGCATGATCTTTTTAAAGAAGTAACCTGGTCAATATCAGTGAATTGTCTCATAGAGGATAACTTGAAAACTGACTCTGTCTGTGGGCATGAAGCCTGTGAAAGTGTGGGGGCAATTTACTTAAAAAGAGCAACTATTCTTAATAAAACACATTAAAGGACTGTAAATAGATTTAATCTTGTAGGGGTTTATAGAAAACATTTGTGTATAAGTTGTGAGCATTGTGTCTACCCCTTCCCTTTCATTTTTTACCATAGTCATGAGAGAGCTGGGAAACAGAAGCCAGATGTGTGGTAGGCAATGGGTTGGTAGCTGAGAGAAAGCAGGCATGGAACTGGCCTGTGGTGACCAGATTGCTGTCCTGGTTTTGCTACTAGTGATTTGAGTGGCTTTTAAGTCACTTTCAACCTCTCCATACCTCCCTTGCTTTACCTACAAGAGGGCACAAACTTGGTGATCCCCCAGGGCCAGGCCACTTTGATTTCCAAAACATTTAGAAGTGGCAGATATGCTAGGTAGCAGCATATACCACAGGCAGGTGTGTCACTGCCTCCATCTCTTGATATCTCCAGTGTTTGAATAGTGGTTCCATCTGTGCCTCAGATGGAGAAGGGCTGGAGAATTGTGACTTTAACACAATGACATAAACATGTGCATATGCACATCAATTCTTGAATGTAAGAAAAGAAGCACTTGCCTCTTGGCTCTCTTGGTTTTAATTTGGGTATTTTCCAATTCAATACCAGAAATAAAATCTCAAATATAAAACACTTTTAAACAAGAACCCTAGCCAATGCAGAGGTTTCTTGTGCTGGAATCAGAGAAATGTCAGGTTTCTGGGGGAAGTGGTTGGGAAGTAATTGCCCAAGTGTAGAAAGTAACAATTTCACATTTCAGAGAACTAACTCAGGAAATGTTCTGTAGAATTTGTGAAGGCCAGTGTAATGGAATTAATGTCCAGAGGGACATTAGTGATACTATGGACATGAAAGGGTCTGCTTTCTATTTCACGGTTGCTTTACGTATACTTGGTAAAATAAAAGAAGAAAAAGTTGTCCTCTCAAAGTGTTTCCTGAGTACAGTGGTCTGTGGTGAGTACCACACCTAAGATGGTGCCAGTGGGGAGCCACTTAGAAAGTGAGTGTTAGCAAATATTACACCTGTTGGGTTCAGTTTATGTCCACGGTCACCTTTGGACACTTTGGGTGCTTGTTTCTATAGTGAAATAAATTTGAACTCTTAATGCTTGAAGGCACAGCACACACAGGAACTATGTAAACACATTTACGACCAATCAACTGCTTTAGGTAAGAAAAATCACCCGGGAATGTCCAGATTATTACCAAAGTGTCCTAAAATGTATAAGGTGAGTTAGGGTGGGGTGTCACCAGATTCAATAAACCATGTAAGAGATAACAGAGTCAATAAATCATGTAAGACATTTATAGAGCTCCACATGTTTTTTATTTAAAATGTTTTTTATTTTAAAAAATTAAAATTATTTTTAAAATTTAAACATTTCAATTGCAAAATTGTTACAAATAGTTCTTGTAGAAAAAAGTGCTTCATGAAAGTAATGTGACAAACTCACTTTTCTCTCTCCCTCTCCCCAAGTAAAACCTTCACTAGTTATTTTGGTCATTACAACAATCAATTCAGCCTCCAGGCTTAATGTTTGTTATTCTAAGTCACCCCATGAGGAATAAGGGAAATAAGGAGACATTTTATCCAAGTTGATTTAGACAGAGTTGTTGGTTAGGGCACAGCAAATTAAAATCTGAGCTACATATATTTATTTTTCTATATTAGAGCTATTAGATGTTCAAGAAACAAGAGTATCGGAAATGTGAACACCAAAAATATTTAAAGTATAATTTTAATCTAACTGTAGCTCATGACACTTCATTTTATCATACTGAAAAAAGAACTTAACAAGGTGGTATGAAACTGAATATTCAGGTAGAAATGTAGCTTACACGGAAATGATTGGATCCCAGATTAATTTTGGGATAGTCGTAAGTTCCCTCCTTACGAATGAATGAAGGGAGGGTAATACACAGGTTGTGCTAAACAGCTGGGTCAGAACTATTCGGGAACTTATCACTTCTTTGCTTTTTGAACTTGGGCATGTCCATCCCTATGAAGAATGAAGGGCTCCTAGTCTAGTGTTTGTTGGTGGCTGGGTGCACCCTGCAAGGAAGAGACTAACCAGAATCAAAATGAGTGTGTCCAAAATTACAGCTTAGTCCCTCTGCTTTGGAAGTCCTGTTCTGTAGCTGAAGCTGCCTCTGTATGATGGGGATGAGCCCCAATGTCATGTATCCTGAGTGACTCTACAGCAGACCATCCTTAGCCTGTTCCCAGCCATTAAGGCAGAGCCATATGGGCACAAACCAGGAACGTCATTTGCTGTTCTTGAAGCATCTTCTTCCCATCAGCAGAATCAAGACCCAGGGCTAGCAGACAGTAAAGATACTGTTCTCAATTATCCAATACTGACAAGACCTACACATTCTTCATTCGCTAACTGGATAAATTACTAGGGACCAGCAGGTCCAGCTCTGCCAGCCACACAAAGTCTGTTTTCATAAAGTATCCTGGCACTTTAATTTTCAATAAATGAAACAACATGGTATATTGAAACAGAATCTTTATTTCAACAACTAAAGTGCGCTGTCAGAGCTGGCCCTTGGGACACCAGTCTTATGTTGTTCCTTTACAAATACAAGACTTTTTGACATACAGCAAATTTCAAGTAGCTTTATTCATGAGGGAAAAAAAATCTATAAAATGTACAAAACTTATCCAGGCACTATGGCTTGCATCTGTAAACCTAACTACTTAAGGAGGTGGAAATCAGGAGGAACAAGGCTTGAGACCAGCCTGGGCAAAAAATTACCAAGACTTCCCCACCTTAACAAAAGATACTGGGTGTGATGGTACAAAGCTGAAATCCTAGGTATGTGGGAGGAGAAGCATGATCCAGGCTGGCTGGCTTGGACAAAAAATGAGGGACCCTATCCTAAAAATAACTAAAGCAAAAATGGCTGGGAGGTGTGTCTCAATTGGTAGAGCACCTTCCTAACAAGCCTATAGGCCCTGAGTTCAAGCCCCAGTACCACTGAATTTTTTTTTTTTTTTTTTACGAAACATGCAATTTCTTGTCTCAGGACTGGTGAGATTGATCTCCATCCTTTTGGTTTTTATTTTGCTCTTTTGATAACAGTGTAAATATTTTGAACTTTATTTTAAGTAATTTGGACAGTATTGAAGGTTAGATGCACAAGGGATAATCTTTAAAAAAAAAATACCTCAAACAGAAGCACCATTAAAAGTGTAGGCTTCATCAGGTGCTTTTTTTTTTGGTTGTACAGGGGTTTAAACTCAGGGCCTCCCATTTGCTAGGCAGACACTGTATTGCTTCAGCCCTACCACCAGCCCCATCAGACACCTTTTATGGATACTTATAGAACGAGGTACATCTTGCTTTATTCCTAACTGACATTATTTTGTTCTATCAAGCAGGTAATAGTCTAAATATTTAGCTCAGCAATGGCTCTTTGGCTAGTGTGTCTTTTTTTTTTTTTTTAACTCTATCTGCTAATGGAAAAGTGAGAAGGATAAGGCAGGATTTTTCATGAAGGTGTGAATATGTCTTTGATATTTTAAACAAGCTATTCATTATCGTGAGTCTAAACTTTCTGGCTTTTTTTATGACAGAATTTTTACTGGTGTATAAAATCTTAGTGACCAGGGACTTCTGGCTTAGCACACGTCCCCATGTTTTTCTCAATCTCCATTTTATTAAGAGCAATTTTTGTTCTGAAGCCGTATGCCCGTATTCCACATGCATATTTAAAGAAATTCCTCGAGGGAATATCATTTTGAAAAAGAACTAGGAATTTCAAAAAAAGATCCTAGTGCAGTTCTACACATTCAAATAGAATAATCAAATCAAAATATACTTTAAACCTCAGATACACTTGACTTTCACATTTTCCTAAGGTGCAAGTATCACATTTGTTTCTGATTTTGTATTCTTTGAAGGTAGTTTTATATTTCCTCTGGGTCCAGGAAAATTCACTTTCAGTGTTCATGTGTAAGTTAATTGGCTTTATTTACCTCTCTAGTGTCAATGTGT